CAATCCTTCAAATTCGTTGGGACCTTGTTGAATTACCCTTTAAGAGACCCCAGGGGCGTTTTATTCGACATTTAGAATTTAAGTGTAGGTAAACAAGTAATATAAAAAAAAAATTTAAAGTCAATTCCTACTTATTTTTCCCTCTATTGCAGAAAGTCCTTTATAAGTAATTTTCATTCATTTTTTAAAGTTTATCTGGCGCCATCTATTCGTAAATATATGCAACTTAAATCTAAAAAGAACTAATATTAATTAAACAAGTTTAATTACTGAATTAATATTTAGAAAAACTGCATTAACATCCAGTGTCATCCATTACAAGTTCAAAAAAATGCATTTGAACTCGACTGGATGAGCAAAAAGTATTTTATGACCGATTGAAAATGTGAACAAGATATATATATAGGAAGAGTGTGAGCTAATAGTAGGAATTGAAAAAGAAACGAACTGCCTAACACCCATAAGAGAACGTTTTATCTAAAAGAAAAATTATTTTAAGATTATTTTGAGACCGAAACATTGCATCTTCAATTGAATTTTTATTTTGAAGACCCAATGCCCATTGTATTTTGGACTTGCCAAAAAGTACTACTTTCTCAAATATTTTGAAAAAAAATTATATGTATTCTTTGCAATTAAAAATGCGTATACTTTATTTTGTATGTGTGTTACTTTTATTTTGTATGTGTGCACATTATGCCTGCCCTACATATCGTTAATGAACTAAGAATTGGTAAAAATTGATTTACAAATGGATTTAAGATGTATAATCGGTCTTTATTTTACTAATACATGGCAGTATAATCAGGTTTATTATACATTATATGTACGGCTGAACGTCTTTAAAAATTATTTTAGTGAAGCGCAGTGTGTTTTATAGAAGATGGAGTTACTTAACAAGGCTTATGTGTATGACTTTGTAGAAAATTTAACAAAAAATGTACAGCACAAATCTCGTAAAAAAAGTTTTTTTGAAACAACATAAATTTAAATTCTGTAGTAGCAAGTTTATGAAGCCTATGCAGCATTTGACCTTATGGTTGATTAAAAAAACAAACACGTAATTTTCACAGAATTGTCTTTTTTAATAGAGTTTTGTTGCTCTAATCAGAAATCGCTCTAAACAAAGACGAACCAAAAGTTCATCTGTTTATGCTGCGGAAGGACTCGATAAATTTGTAAGCAGGAAAATCCTTCTGCTGAATTCGTAGAGCAGGGCAGGGAGTAGCGAACCTCTTAGACACACTATTACTGACGATGTTCGTTCATAATTTTAGTGTAAAAAATTATAGTTTAAAAAAACTAAAAAACACGCTTTTAGAGTTAATCAAACTAAAAAGTAAAAAATAATTGTTAACATAAGACTAAAATGAATGTCACTGTTCTAAAAGCGTGGGGTGCTCGATATCAATCGTTATCATTTTTCACTAGTGTCATTCCGAAATGCAGAGTTAGTTTTAAAATGTCATACAAAGCACCCCAAGCTTATAGAATTAATTTTCTCGTCAGTCATTTTATTCTTATGTTAACAATTACTTTTTACTTTTTAGTTTGATTAACTCTAAAAGCGTGATTTTTTTTGTGTGTGTTTTTAAACTATAATATTTAAATGAGGTCCCGGTACGGAGGACTGGAACTATAGTTCTTACAATAATTTAATTGTGAGTAAAACAAAGGCTAAAGGCGAATAGGTCGAGCAAGCTAGGTCTCGAAGAAGGAATCTCCTGATCCGTAGTCAGGTGCATTATCCGTTGTGCCACTGTCCCAAGTAGGTTTGAGTGTCTTAGGTACTTTCATTCTACTTGGGTTAAATTGCTCTTCCTAAGTTAAAATGAAATCATCAATCCTGGCGATCCTAATCGTGATGATATAATAGACTTATCAAAATATTATAGTGTCCTTGATAAGTCTACAACGTTTCAATTAAATCTGATCGCTTAAAGTAGGGCAAACTCGAGCCCAAAGAGTCAGGTATAAACAAACATACAGGTGAAACTAACAAAAGGGTATTAAAATGGGTGTGCCTTTAAGAGATCTTCCGTGGTTTTTCCCTGGACAAATTCATTTGCTACATCTGTGACATTTTAGTAAGGAATGACTTATATCAAAATATCCAGCTTAAGAAAACATTACCAAGTTAAAGTTAAAAAATGTGTATACAAAAGAAAATGTGCTATAGTTGTTGTTTTCAAATGACGGACATTTCGACACATCAATTCTTTAAAGCACTGTCTTCATATTTGCCATGAATGGCGGACATCACATTTATGTTTCCGAACTTCCGACGCCTTGGAAAGAGTTTTCGTATCTTGGAATAGACACGATAAATCTGTAAAGCGAAAATACTTTTTCTAAATCCAAGGAGAGGAGACGGTTAAGAACACCTACTTAAGATTTGTTCAAACTTTTAGTACAACATGGGAATGCAGCGTAGCACTACCTCCTTCATGGTGAGTCTTGGTTCATGGTGAATTCGTTACCTATTCAATGAACAAGTAATTTAAAAATATTTTTTTAAAGTCAATTCCTACTTTTTTTCACTCTATTGCATAAAGTCCTTTATAAATAAATTTACTTCTGGCGTCATCTATAGATGGTAGATATATGCAACTTAAATCTAAAAAAAACTAAACTTAATTAATTAAATTTACTTAACTGAGTTAATATTTGAAAAAACTGTATTAACATGAAGTGTCATCCACTGCAAGTTCAAAAAAAAGAAATGTATTTGGACTTGTGTGGATGAATACTATGAAAGATTGAAAATTTGAACAAGCTATATGTAGGGAGAGTGTCAGCTAATAGAAGGAATTGAAAAAGTCTATTTTCTATCGGTATGCATGCATGCATATGCATGTATGTCTATTCGGTAAAAAAAAAAAGAAGAAGGAGTACACTTTCTCAGTTTGAAGCCGGTGGAATTTCTTTCAAATCTGTAAAAGAATGAAAGAGACGAGTATCTTCCAGAAACAAAGGAAGATCGTTATGAGGATGAGAGGCGAGTAATGAGGCATCGCTCCCGGAAGGGGGAGCACCCTGTCAGAAGAGGATTAATTTCGACGTCGATACTCATTCATTAGAGGGAGCCGAACGCACGAGAATAACGAGATTGCGAAGCTCTCATCAAGAGGAGATGAAGGATGAGAGCGAGGAGAATAATTATTTGCCCACAACATTTTGAAAGGCGCTCATCGAAGTTCAAGGTTAAGGTCGAAAGCAGATTGTTGGACGGTGGATCGGGTTTCGGAAAGAGCCGACCTGGAATCGAAACCCAAAAAAGTTTGGTTTGGTTTGTCACTCTACGGTCATTTTGTGCACACTTTAGGCTAAACAGACCGGGACCTACAATTTAACGGGAATTTCGAACCACGAACAAACAACCATGCCACACGAAGTTTCGGATATAAAACAGCTTCATGGTGAAAATAAAAAAAAATGAATAGCTCAGGAACGTGACCATAATGAATAAAAATAAGCACCTGACGATTCAAAACCAGAGGTATGAATAGAAAAACGTATTCCAAAAAGAGCATCGCTCGTTCCTTGAAATAGAGTATTTCAATAAGCAGAATCGGTTGGAATGAAACTTTTCAGCGAAAGAGAGGTGTTTCTTAAAAAACGCTTTTATTTGAGCATGAAATCAAATTCGGGGGAAAAAAACTTTCACGAAACGTACCAGCATTTTTTTTTTTTTTTTTTTTTTTTTTTGAAAGGTAAAATTCTTAACAATAAAAAAATAACAAATAAAATCTTTTCTAATGTTTTAAACTTTCAAAAATGTATCCACTATAACAATGAAATTTGCCAAACTAAACTAGAATGCTATATTTTACTCAGTTAAGCTTTTACAGGTTAATACGAACAAGTAATATAAAAAAAAAAAAAAAAAATTTAAGTCAATTCCTACTTTTTTTTCACTCTATTGCAGAAAGTCCTTTATAAATAATTTTCACTCATTTTTTTAAAATTTATGTGGCGCCGTCCATGGGTATGCAACTTAAATCTAAAAAAAACTAAAACTAATTAATTAAATTTATTGAATGAATGAATATTTGAAGAAACTGTATTCACATCCAGTGTCATCCTCTACAAGTTCAAAAAAAAAAATGTATTTGAAGTTGAGTGGATGAATAAAAAGTAATTTATTAACGACTGAAAATGTGAACAAGATATACATAGGGAGAGTGTGATCTAATAGAAGGAATTGAAAAAAAAAAGTAAGCGGTAACGAAGGAAATTCACCAAATACTTAAGACTGACAACACTCAGTCGCATTCAGGTTTTTTTTATTGAATATGTTTTGCAAGATAATAACGAAGCATTTGCCTTGCCATTTCAAAGAAATCATTCGACTAAAGATTTAATTTCTGTATTTTCAAAATGAAAAAAAAAGCATCCATACGATTCTGTTCGAAAAAATGAGAAAAAATACGGTTTGAAATTCTACGATCGTGTAACTTGAAATGCTTGAGCCTACCGGACAAAGGTTTTCAAAAAATGAGAACACGGTCAAGGTCGAAACGAACCATTCCTCCTCTTTCCAAATGCACGTGAGAGCGCGCCTGAATAGAATCACGTCACATTTTTCCACTATTATTTATAATGAATATACGCATCCATAAAGTATAGAAATATAGGTTACGCTTTATAACCAGAATAATAATAGGAGATTATATTTATAAATATGTATTTATGAAACCTTGCAATATTCAAAAAATAGTATACATCTATATATTTATAATAAATGATGAAGAAAAATGTTACCTCATAGCGTACTTTGAATGGTGCCAAAATTTTCAAAATACTTTATTATTATATAAATTTATCTTATTTTATAGATATTACAAGCCTTTACTACTGTCCAAAAAGTAAGACCCATTTTGAATTTAAAATTCCCGGAGCTTGTGAATTTTCATTTTTTTTTTCTTTTTTGGGTTGCTGGCACTGTCCTTGACATCTGTGTGAAATTTCACGTCAAAATATTCATTAGGGTTTGAGTGGTTCTCGTTAGATCACCGAAGTCAAGCATCATTGGGCGTGGTCAGTACTTGGGTGGGTGACCACCTGGGAACATTGCGTGCCGTTGGCAAATTTGGGACCTGAATGACCGAGTGTCTAGCGCTCTGGCGCTCGGTGCTACAGGTTTCAGGTTCGAATCCCGGCGGTGCCATGGATGTTTGTAGTGGTTCGGAATCCACTTTAAGCCGTAGGTCCCGGTCTCCTACGACTGTAAGAGCGTCACGGAGCCAAAGTCAGACTTCTACCTACGGGTGCTCCATCACAACAGAAGCTGCTTCCTTCCCCTTCAATCATGAGTACGTATGGGCTCGTCGGCTGGGCCAGCCAAGTGGGATACGAAACAACAACAACAACAACAGGGTTTGAGTTACGCTTGGCTTTGTGAGACGCTTAAACTGATTCCGCCGATTTTTGAAATGTCTCAATTCATTGAGCAAAGAACTTCAACCGACGAAGCTCACATCCAAAAAATTAAAGATTTGGTGCTTGCAAACCATCGATTTACAATTGGAGACCTTGTTGATGATGTTGGAATTTGAAAAGGATCGGTCCATTCCATTTTGGGCCACAAACGCTTCAAATCTCGATTAGTACGGAAAACACTGAATGCGCCAGCTCACACGGAACTGATTCTTTGTGACTTCGCCAAAAATGAAACCCATATAGTTCGACAACCACCGTATTCACACCGTACGATTTCTGGCTGTTCCCTAAACTCAAAAGACCACTCCGGGGACACCGTTTTGAGTCTATTGAAGAGATTCGACGTGAATCGCCGCGCGCTTTGAAGGCCATCCCTGCGATGACTTTTTAGCATGCATTGAGGATTGGAAAAAGTTGGCATAAGTGCATTGTGTCGGGAGGGGATTACTTTGAAGGCGATGAAATAAATTTGGAAGAATAAATAAAGAGTTTTGAAAAAAAAAATAATGGGTCTTACTTTTTGGGCACAGTAGTATATATAGTATGCTTTACTAATATATAATTTTTTTATTATTATTTTTATTATTATTGTTATTATTATTATTGTTATTATTATTATTGTTCTAATTATCTTTCATTATTTACGATCCTAATATTTTTATTTCAGTAATAATAAAAATTATCCCCTGTCCTATGCGATTACAACTAGAATTGTTTTCTCCTTTAACTTTAACCGTTTTCCTGCCATGTGCTTTTTGTTTTTTCTTAAAGGATGTCCTTTATATCAAAACAAGTTATATAAAAAAATAAAAAAAATAAAGTCAATTCCTACTTTTTTTTCACTCTATTGCACAAAGTCCTTTATAAATAATGTTCATTCATTTTTTTAAGTTTATCTGGAGCCATCTATTGGTAGATACATGCAACTTAAATCTAAAAAAATACTAAAATTAATGAATTAAATTTAACGAATGAATTAATATTTGAAAAAAACTGTATTCACATCCAGTGTCCTCCACTGCAAGTTTAAAATGAAAAATGTATTTGAAGTTGAGTGGATGAATAGAAAGTATTTTATGAACGTTTGAAAATTTGAACAAGATATATATAGGGAGAGTGTGAGCTAATAGAAGGAATTGAATAAAGATTCTTCGTCGGCACTTTCTTTAAAAATAGCAAAAGCATAACGCACATACTCACTCTGCTTGTTTCTTCCGAGTCCGAATCATTCAGTTCGTTTCTTGAAGTGTATGATCGAATGAGCAGTCAAACGATTCGTTCGCGTTCAGTTCGCAACATCGCGCCGTTCTGCAAAAGAGGAAGTGAACGCTCGCAACCTGTCTGAGGCGCTCGAGTGAGATGTGTCAGCGAGAATTTCCTGCGCCGCAGTATTTGCGGAACTCTTTGAGTTACCCCGTCTCAGCAAGGCTGCAAAACAAACCATCTGAGACGTTCTCATATAACTCCGACTGAGGCTGCCAGATGGAATTAAAATGGAAAGTCCGAAAAGTGGCTCACTGTTGCCCGGAACTGAAAACCTCTGCAATCTGCCAGGTGATAATAAAACGAAACTAGTTTGAAGGCTTATTCTTTTTCTAATCTCAAGAACCTTTTCTTTGTTTTTTTTTTATCTTCATAACTTACTTTTATTATATATATATTTTTTTCTTCTTATTTATCGTTTTCTTTCTTCTAATGAATACTCTCATATTTTTTGCTCCATGCGTATGGAATAGTCATAAAAAAACCCCCATCTATTCCAGAAAGTGGATGCCAATATTTTGTGCTAGAGTTAGCGCTGTATCGCCACTTGGCTCCCTTTCCTCACGCGCATTTATTTCAATTCCTTCTATTACCTCCCTTTATATATCTTGTTCAAATTTTCAATCGTTCATAAAATACTTTTCATTTATCCACTCGAGTTCAAATGCATTTTTATTTTGAACTCGCAGTGGAATACAGTTTTTTTAATTATTAATTCAGTAATTAAATTTAATTGATTAATTTTAGTTTTTTTTAGATTTAAGTTGTATGTATCTACTAATAGATGGCGCCAGATAAACTTAAAGAAATGAATGAAAATTATTTATAAAGGACTGAAAAAAAAGTAGGAATTGATTTAAAAAAAATTTTTTTTTATATTACTTGTTTCTTTTTCTAAACTCCAGGACCTTTTCTTTTCTTTTTTTTTTTCTTTATAACTTACTTTTAGTACTATTTTTTTTTCTTATTATTTATTGTTTTCTTTCTTTTAATGAATACTCTTAAGTTTTTTGCTGCATGCGTATGGAATAGTCATAAAAAAACCTTATCTATTCTAGAAAGTGGATGCCAATATTTTGTACTAGAGTAGGCGCTGTATCGCCACTTGGCGCCCTTACCTTGCACGCATTTATTTAAGAAACATGAACATGGTTTTTTTTTTTTTTTTTTTTTCGTTTTTTCTTCAATTTCGTCTATTAGCTCACACTCTCCCTATATATATCTTGTTCACATTTTCAATCGTTCATAAAAAACTTTTTATTCATCCATTCAAGTTCAAATACATTTTTTTTAACTTGTTGTGGATGACACTGTATGCTAATACAGTTTTTTTTCAAATATTAATTCAGTAATTAAATTTAATGAATTAATTTTAGTTTTTTTTTCTTTTTAAGTCGCATATATCTACCCATAGATGGCGCCATATAAACATAAAAAAAGGAATGAAAATTGTTTATAAAGGACTTTCTGTAATAGAGTGAAAAAAAAAGTAGGAATTGACTTTAAATTTTTTTTTTTTATATTACTTGTTTATCTTCATAACTTATTTTAGTACTATTTTGTTTTCTTATTTATCGTTTTTGTTCTTTTTATGAATAGTCTTATATTTTTTGCTCCATGTGTATGGAATAGTCATAAAAATACTCCATCTATTCCAGAAAGTGGGTGCCAATATTTCGTGCTACAGTTGGCACTCTATCGCCACTTAGTGCCCTTACCATGCACGCATTTATTTAAGAAACGCAAACATGTTACGAAGCGATTCTGGTTTGGTTTGTCGCTCTACGGTCATCTTATGCACACTTTAGGCTAAATAGCCAGGACCTACAGTTTAACGTGGATTCCGAAACACCAACGAAAATCCATGTCACCGCCATGATTCGAACCTGAAGCCTGGGATAACAAAGGCCAGAGCGTTAGCCAGTTGGCCATCAAGCCGCCAAGCGATTCTGAACATTCTCAGAAATTCTTCTCAAGTCTTACATTTATTGTGGCATGTGCTTACTGAAGATAAAGAAATATGAGAAATGATGTTATTCTATTTATATCTCTAATCATTTGTAAGAAATGAAATAAAACATTACGTGAAGTCCATATAGATGAATATTTTATTTTTTAACTAATTTGGGGAATACTTATTACACGAGAAAATTTATTAACAGAATATAAATAACAAATATTTAGAAAAATTAAATCAACACTTATTGATAACAAAAAAAAAACAAAAACAAAAACAAAAAAAACTAACCCTTTTTTTCGAAAATCGTTGTAGGAGAATAGTTCTTTCCCTTCGAATCAACGGGAAAAATTGTTGGCAAAAAAAGTAATATGAAAAAAAAAAAAAAAAAAAATTAAAGTCAATTCCAACTTTTTAAGTTGAAATTTTCCTATTACATCTGGCGTCATCTATTGGTAGATACATGCAACTTAAATCTAAAAAAAAAACTGAAATTAATGAATTAAATTTAATTAACGAATTAATATTTGAAAAAACTGCATTGACATCCATTACAAGTTCAAAAAAACGCATTCGAACTCGAGTGGATGAGTGAAAAGTGTTTCATGAACGATTGAAAATTTGAACAAGATATATATAGGGAGAGTGTGAGCTAATAGAAGGAATTGAAAATTTCCAAGCTGTCATTGCATATGTTTAATCACAAAATCCTGAAATACACGCCGAAAATTCATTCTAAAGGTGGACAGTTTATTCCACAATGCAATATAGGCTTATTTTCGCTCTATAATACAATGTTTATTTGTATTATAGAGCGAAAATAAGCCTATCCGTCCAGTATAAAGGTATGGCAGACTGACCTTAAAAGTGTCACGTCACTCCTGGCTGGCAGTAGCGACTGTAAGTCACGTGAGGTGTATGCTCACGGGAGTATTATGTTGGCCCCAAATTGGCAACCCCTATTTACTCTCTATTTTATTACTACTCTATGATTTATATTACAAATAGCTGCACCTAATGGCGATTAAAAGACGAGAACTTGTCTTGTGGTAGTAAAGATGGAAAATTCCCACCTGTCAGCTTGACTGTGAATGTAAGGCACACTTTGTCCCAATAGCCAACGCTTATCCTCGATTGTGATCGAAACGCACATCACCGGCGGACTCGAAATTGAGCTGTACTGTCTTCACTCTGCGAAGTTACTACTTTGTTAGGGGACGGGCCTTTGTCGTCATTTGGTTTTTAAAAACGTATTTTTGTTAACGTTCGTTTCATTGGCTTGCAGAAATGTCAGAAATCACAGGAGGGAGACTTCTTTAACACTTTTTTTCCATAGTTGCTTCAATGCAAACCTTGATTTTAAACTGTTTGCTTCAGAAGATCTTAGAAAAATTTTAAAGCCAATTCCTACTTTCTTTTCAC